TGAAAACAAGACATTATAATAGTTATTGCTGATTTAATACCATCTTGCTTTGAAGTCCTACCCTGCTTTTGTTCTTCTGTTTCCATTGGTTCTCTCATGTTTTATCTTATTGGATTTTAATATGTGTGATAATATAAACAAATTTTTATGGACAATGAGATAATACAGTTGCCATTGTTTATTTTCTGTTATTTGGTTATGAATGCCCTATAATACTTTCATTCTCTTGAATGGTTTTATACTATTTTGTTATGTTTGATACTACTGTATAGGAAGGTATGCTCAACTATTTCAAAGAGAGATACTATGGTAGTCACTGTTAATTACGGTTTGTCTTGTGGTGAAATACTGTGTTGCTTACATTGCTCTGTTTTGATCTGCTTTGTTATGGCCTCTTTTGTCTTAATCTCTTTATATAAAAATATTTAAAAATTTAAAAACCAAGTAGGAAACTCTAAATGCTCTGAAATGAGCCAGGACTCTCATAAAGAGACATCTGTGCTCCCCAAAAGAGTTCAAGGTTCTCTAGACCAAGACTGGACAGCACAGATGACCCTACTGATCCATTTCCTTCACAACCGGTTGCCTGTTCTATTCTACAACTGTCCCAGGGACACTGGGTTTAGGCTCAGAAGGCCAAGCAAGTCATGATAGCAGAGGCCTGTAAATCTAACACTCAGAGGACAAAGCAGGAGGATCTTCTACAGTTTGAGGCCAGCAGGGCTACATAATGAATTCCAACTCACTATGAGTGCGTGAATTTAGAACATAGAGACCTTGTGTATAAAACAAAAAACCAAACCACAAAAAGTTCTGGGAACTACAGAGGACCAAGATCCTCACAAATGAAGCCTCCAGGCGAGGGAGTTGGATTCTACCCAACCTGGGAGTGCAGCCAGAGCCATGCCTTCAGCTGCTTCCTGTCTTCAGGTCCTTTCCTGGTCCTCTTGCAGGCCTGGAAACTTGACATCCAGAACAGGAGACGCCAGGGACCTTGGAGGACAACACTCTGTGCTTCCCTCACTTGTGGGCAGCTGGCCTGCTCCTCGCACTCAGGGTCCACAAGGCGCTGTAGGGACGCAGCCAGCAGGGAGCCATCTCCACTGCACTGTGGGTTCTGTCCCGCCACCGCCTCTGGCTGCCTTTGCTTGGGTCTCTTGTAACAGGCCAAGGAGCTGATTCCTGCGAGCTCTGTGGCCCTGTCCTGGAGTCCTCACCTCAGAGGGGCCGCCCTGCCGGGATTGCACCTGGCTCGCGCCTTTGGTAGGCAGAAGCCACTGCACCAGGGCCAGCCTAGGCCACGATCTCCAAGGCAGCAGGCATGGAGTGCAGAGCAGGACCCGCCACCAGGATCTAGATAGGATTGTTCAGCTCCAGGGCTGCTTCCTTCCTGCCGCTGGGCTGTCAGCCCTGCAGTCTCGGCATTCTGTGGGGAAGCCCACAAGTTTGGTGCCCCTTTAAGCACCGGGGCGACTACACCAGAACGATTGCTTGCTGGTCTTTCAGCAGCATCACAGCCCCCCACTCCCGTCCCCTCTGCTGCTCCACTTAGTGCACAATTTTCCTTCCTCCATGTTCCAGGGAAGCATATCTTTTGGAAGATAGTTGCAGAAAAGCTTGTATCTGAGGTCAGCAGTGCACACTGGAAAGCACACGAGGGCGCCAGCGGCCCGCCAAGGGACATCCTGCTGAGAGATGCCTGCAGGCGCCAGGAGCCTTCAGTGGTTAGTTCATCCCAGCTTCTGAAGGAGGGACAAGCTCAAATTTGTGCATAACAATGGTTATCAAGTACAGCAATCATTTACAATAGGACTACTAACACATTCCTTTTAGGGACAGATAAGTGACTGATAATAAGTGCTCACGTAATAAATATGAACATGGGTTTATGGTATCCAGTGCTTTTTAGGCAAAATGAAACAATTATTCTAAATGATTCGACAAAATAGAAAATGGGAATTTAACTCCAGCACACTCCTTTCCTTGGAAATGCAGTGTTTATCTGAAATGTAAATTTCCTGGGCCTATCTGGCCACAGCCTAATTCAGGCATGACTAGAGCAGGTAAAGAGCTGTGCCTGTTTGCGACCCACAGGGGTAGTTATTTCCCTTCCTCTGTCCTCCTTGTTCTCATAAGAGTCTCGCTGGCAGCCAAGCAGTTTTAGAAAGAAAAAGAGGTAAGGTCTTTAAATGGGAAGCCAGGTTTGCATGGCTTCCTGTAATCCCAGCACCCTGGGAGACTGGGGCAGGAGCATACAAATGCCTTAGGGATTTAAGGAGTCTGTATTAAAAGGAGGGGAGGCTGAGAAGTAGCTCACAGGGAAGGCCTTGAATTCAACCCCTTGTACTACAAAAACAAAAACACCATAAGTAAAAACGGTTATTAATTTTGCCCCACCTATCCACAATATGCTAACAGAATATCTCATGAGGGGCTACTATATCCAACCTAACACCTAATTCTGTCCCTAACCTCTGTAAATACAACACAATGAAAGATGGAAAAGAGGCTCTAATGAGCAGATTGTCACTATGAGACCTGTAGTTAGCCCTTTAGAGAGCATTCTGAGACACGGAGTAGAATACAATACAGTCCCAATTGAGGGTTGCCAAAGTACATGATATCTGCTAGCTTCCTATTTTTATTGACTGAGGATCCATCCTGAGACTTTAATTGGTTTTCGGTGTTCTCTGGTGTATGCAGGTGAGTGTGACTGACAGTGGCATGTGAGTCCCAAGGCACAGAACAGCTATTCTCTAAGCTAGTGCCAGGTGGCCTGCTCCAAAGGCTCTGGTGAGCACCATGTCTGGTGTTTCTAGTTCTCTTAGAAAACTGAAAACTTGGTGTGAAGACTTAAACTGATTGGTGCATTGTCTTTATGTCTGAAAGTAAATTTAGTGACTCCAAAAGTGATACCCTAAGGTACAGTTTCCTTGTCAGTGCCTGAGCATCTGCTCAAGGGCTGACCCAGAGACACTTCTGCTTTCCTGTCTTTGGTCTCCCTGTTCCCAAGTAGAGTTAACCACCACCAAATCCTTATCCACACATAGGCTTTGCCAGAGGTGGGAACTGCTGAGAAAGAAGTGTTTCAGGATCCTTTCAACTGCTCTCAACAGAGTCAACAAGTATGTTTCAGAACTGGGTGAAATAAAAATAAAAATAGAAATAAATAAATAGGAATGAACACACAGATGGAGAGGGATGAGTGCCAGGAGCAACCCCTGTAAGAAGTAGAGGATTGGGACCTTACCTGGAGAAGGTGTGACTGGCCCAAGGCCCTGAGGCTGGAAGAGCAGACAGGAACATGGGGGCTTGAAGAACCTATTCCTGGCACAGCTATAAGCCAGAAATAAGGAAAGACTGAAATGCAAATTGCCCAATTAAGAAATTTGCGTGGTCAAATGAATGATTCACACAATAAAGTCCCATAAAAACTGTGACAAAAACATGGAAAAGCCTGACAAAGGAGCATGAAAGGTGACAATGGGAAGGAAATTATGCTATTTTGCTATCTGTGTCTGCTCTCCTTCCCATCAGCCCTTTCCCTGAGATTTCTGTCCACCTTGTGAGTGTAGGCAGCGCTTTCTGTTCTGAGTGTGAACTGCACTCCTTCCTCCTGCTTGTGATTCCTGTGGAGTCTTCTAAAGATAGTGTCACTACTGAGGGTCTTTGGGACTCTTTCCTTTGAGGCTGATTCCTTTCAGTTCTCATTCCCCTGTTTCTCCAGCCTGTAACACCAAACCTGTGTAATCAACAAAACTTCTGCTACCATATGCAGTCACTTCTTTTATACAAACATTGGTGGCTGGGGATGTAGTTCAGAGGCAGAGAACTTGCCTGGCAGGCAGGAGACCTGGGTTCAACTGCTGATATCACATAAAATGACACGAACATTGGAGATAATAATTGTGCCTTTTTCCTAAAAGTGAGCAGAGAAGACTGTTCACTTTTGTACAGATGACAAGCAGTGGGCTCAGGCCGCTTGTTGTTCAGGGAGGTTCCCAGGAGGTTGGTATTAAAGGTGAGCTTTATGGAGCCACATGGAGCCAGGGTAGATGGTTGCTGGGGATGATCCCTCTTTGCCAAATAAGCTACATTTTGTTGCTATGTTTGTTCAACTTCTTTTTTATCCCTAAATTTCTACTAAAATATTATTCACATATTTCAGTCTTCAGTGTCAGCTATGTTATAGAGTAGTAGGAAAATATTTTGTTCCCAAATTACTGCCCAACTAGGAATCAGAAGAGTAGAGTAAATCTCTGCAGGCAAGGGCCAGGACTTTATGCTCTCACTGCTTTTCCCTGCTTGAAATTTCCTGGAGCCTATTCTTAGAGACCTGGGTTAATTACAGAAAACAGCAACTACATTCTGCCTTCCTATAGACCAGAGCCTGGAGTGGACCGACATGATGTCTGGGGTCTCTGGATAGAGAGGGTTTGAGCAAGCCTCAAATGGAAAGGTGAGAACTACACGACCATTTCTCCTCATGATTTTCTCCTTTGCATGTCTATAACACAATTGGAAATGTTCTCTTCTAAATAGAAAAGCCAGGAAAGTAAGTATTTTAAACACAAAGATGTGAGCTTTCTTTCTCAAAGTCTCTCAAAAGTGACAGATGTGTACGTTTTATTTTCTTCTTAGCCTTCTCTCCACCCTCCACCCATCCTTCTGGTCTCCATGACCCCCTGCCCACTCACGGTGTGTGTGCGTGTGCACATGTCAGCGTGCCTTCCTCTATCTCTTCTTTTTTGCTCTCATTTTATGCCTTAATCCTTTGTAGTTAGGCATACACTCAACTTTTCTTTGGTACCAGGGATCAAACTCATGACTTCACACTTTCAAGGCAAGCACTTGAACCACTGAGCTAAATCCCTGACCCCAACATTCAACTTTTTATCCTGTTCTTCAAAATATACTGGTTTTCAAATTAGTAGAATAATTAGATTTGACTTCTAAATTTTTTTTTTACTTTCAAATTTTTCATCATTTTAGAGGTCTGGTCTTAAATTATCTTTCATTACCAAATTTCTACATTTGTCTCAACTGAAGTCAGCTTTACTTAAGAGTTATAAGCTATAGAACCCACAGTTATAAGCTTTAGCAAGTGACATTTAATTTTCAGATATTTATGTCTAAGCACTACCACAGTGAAGAAGAGGCAGGGGCTGTCCCTAAATCTATGGCCACCCTCTGAGCAAACGCTTGTCCCCCTGCCAGGGCTTTCATGTGTCCTTTTTTGCTGTGGGTCTTGTTCCTGATACTTCATCTCTTCTTCTAAATGTCTTCGGGATTTTCCGAAGTTACTTCTTCGCCATGATCAGAAGCTGAAGAGATTTCTAAATCTCGCTTGGCAGTTCTTTACATATTCTCAAACAGAGAATAGTATCTGCCAAAAACATTATGCCCAATGGCATATGGAGAAGGATGTGAAGCCAGAAAGAAATTTGTGACTGGAGGCCTGAAACAGAAAAAAAAAGAGGAGACACTATTTAGACATCAGAGGGATCTGGCTGAGTTCTGTCTGGAATGAGATTGACTGAGGCCTAGTGTGCTAGTCCCCATGAGGCACTGGCAATTTGGGGGCCTGGAGAACTGTAGGGAGCTCCAGCTGGGCTCTATGCTGTCTACACAGGGACAAACTCCTTGGAAGAGTTTAACTAACAGGGAACCAAGCTAAGGATGTACTCCTTAGTTTCAGAGATCACTGCTATTTCTACGTTTTTTATGCTTGGGCAAGGATTCACTTTATTTTGTTTTTGCCAAAGAATCTTTCCTCCTGAACTCACCATTTCACTACCTCTCTTAACAGACACTCGGGCAGGTTCTTATGTGCTGTCTACAAGATCACTTCCTATAAATCCACTATGTGAATCAAAATGGGCACCCCAGTGTCTGTATTACCAGATCCACTAGCAGCAGACAAGAGAAGCTCAGTATATACTGGTGAGATGGTTGGTGAGGGACAGGGCAGGGATGAAATGGATAAGTGGGCAACAAGGTGGCACAAGAGTGACAGGAAGGGAGAACAGAAAATGAAGGAAGAAAAGAAGGAAGAATGAGATGAAGGGAAGGAAAATAAAAGGCAGGAGAGAAACAATGACGTCTGTGAAGAGCATATTAAAGTTCTGAACCAATGGTGGAAAGGCCCGACCCCAAGCTTTTCCTAGAAAGACTTCCTCCTTCTGGCTGAGCCATCATCAAACCCCTAAACAAGCCTCAGCTCCATGGCAGCAAATGGCCCCTTCTCCTTTGCCAGTGGCTTCCAATCCTCACTCACCAGGCACTTCAAGCTCCAACACAGGGCTGTGCTTAAGGGCATTTCCATCTTCTGTGGCTGCCTCACACCAGTAGGACCCAGAACCATTTGTTCTAGCAGTTAGATTGTGGTACTCAGAGGATGTATTCCTGGAACTCAGCGTCATGTTGCCCATGTGGAAGGAGAAGTAAAGCTGCACGCCAGAACTCTGTGGGAGCAACTTTGTCTCACAGCTCAGCTTGGCTAGTTTCCTCTGCCGAGGTGGGGATCCTCTGCCGAAGGATGAGGTTAGCACTGGAGCTGGAAACAGCGCTGAAGAGAAAGTTGATAGGGGACAGAGTTGTCTCCTTCAGCATCAAGGTCCTTTCATAAGAGTCATACCCTCTCCCACCTTGGAAACTTGTCCCAAGAAATTGCATCCATAAGCTGAATTTTTCCTGCTTACTAGAGAATCACTATGGGGGTTTCCTATCAGACCTAATTAAGGCTACCAGCTTGCTTGCATCCATAGAGAAGAATTCTTTTATATGGCCCAATCTTCCCCAAGTGGCCATGTTATTATATAACTGCACCCTCTTAGTAATGATCTGCCCAGAGTAGGCACTAGCTCACATCCTTGCCAGTTCACTGATTCCTTACTTGTGCTCCTCTCTCAAAACAATAATCCGAGATAATAATTTCATTCCCACAGGAATGAATATTTTTTTAATGGAAAAATGTCACTGGGGACTGTGGGTGCTAACCGGAAAGATCATGAAATGGTCAGAGCAAGAACTACATGTAAACTTGGACAGGGGAAGGTGCTTAGTTTGCAGATGTTTAGAGAGAAGTAGGATCAGAAAGGCTGTACTGTCCTTGAGAGACAGATGAAACCAGCTCCTAAGGTCTTGCTGGTTTCAACTTCCATGAGCATTCATGAAATTGTACTGGGCTGTTTTCTAATAACTCTTCTAGCTACCTTGAAGGAGTCTCTGTTCTTTGCAAACTAAAATAAAATTGATAAAATAGGTCTTCATTATGTCCTGACTTTGAGTTTAGCTCCTGTGATTGATAGGACATGGTATACTGGAAAGAACAATGGAAAGGACCCATTCACTGAAGCAGTTTATCTTTTATGAATTGAAATGAGGGTTTAGATGATTTACGCTGGTCCTTTGGATCTTTACAACTATAGCTCTATAACTATTTAGATACACTACCTTTCACCATCACAGGTATTCCTGTCAATGTGAAGGGGGCAGGTGATCTTCCTTTGCCTGAGCAGTGATAGACACCACTGTGATTCACGTTGGCTTTCAGAATAGTGAGTGCAGAATCTCGATAATACTTAACAGGCTTTCCCTTTTGATAGAAAACCACATTGTATACCAGCTTATTCTTCCATCCATGACACCTCGAGGTCAAAGGTTTTCCTTCAGTGAGGACTCTCTTGGAAGGCTGAAGCAGCAGCCAAGTTGAAAAAACACAGACCACAAAATGTATGAAAACAATAGAGTTCCCAATTGACAAGAAAGGAGGACATCAGGTCCATAATGACAAGGAAGCAAACTCGACTGATGACCCTGGAAGAATGCCGAAAAGGACCACAGTGCTGTCGACACCCTGCCCGGAGCCTTTGAGAGAGTCTAAGTGGAGCATGCTGCTAAGCCCGATCCATGAAACCATGTGTTGTTTTAAATTTTTAAGTCTCTGATAATTTGTTACACTAAAATGAAAAACCAAATGTATTACTAACTTCTGAAATATTTGTTAATAGGGTGACATATTTTAAGACAAAATAGCAATCATATCCAGATGTCTGTGAGCTACAGAATTGGCAGGAATACCCACACACAATATCATCAGCTAAAACAAATGTCAGGTCAAATGCTCTCCCTTTCAATATACACCTCTGTACATAACCACAAGAGTTCCCCTAATTTTTCTTTCCCTGTGGCTGTTCATTTAGGTAAATTAAGATTATGCTTTCAGAGACACAAGAAGGAGAATATACAGTAGGGCTTTTCTCCCTTCAGAACATATCTAAAATGATAGGCAGGTATTCCAGTGATACACATAGAGCAACTTTTAGGGTGTTTGATGCTGCCCTAGTGAATAGGCAAGCCACAGAGTGTGAGAATGTATGTGCAATGCTTGAAAAAATACTCATTCCAGATATATAAATAACCACTGTATGTCAATAAGAAAAAGACAGCTAATAGAAAAATTGTCAAAAGATCTGCCAGATACTTTATAAAAGAATATTCAAATACATAATAGACATGTAAAAACTGTTGATATCATCATTAAGGAAACACAAATTAAAACTACAATGTGTTATTACTACACAGGTACCACAATGGCAAAAGTTGAAACATTTTGTTTGAGTGAGCATGAAAGGAACTAAAACTCTTATTCTCTGGATAAAATGATAAATTATGCATTGGTAAAACAGCTCTGAAAAACTATTTAGCAGTCTCTCTGAAAGCTGAAATATACGTATTTTGTGACCCAGCAATTCCACTCTTAGGAATTTTCCAGTGATAGGCATATATGTACACCAAAGTATTACAGTTGGCAAAATTAGAAGTTGATAGACAGCTCAAAAGGAATCAGGCCCAAGATAGAGTCAGAGCAGAGAGGAGACAAACCAAGCCTGTAGTTAAGGGTTAAATGGATAGAAACTTGGTCCCAAGATGGATACATGATCATGAGTCCTACAAGCCTCTGCACAGATGAACAACAAAGGCCCAAAGCTTTGCTGTATCTAGCACTGTTATAGGCAGCTCAGTTAGACACAAATTAATAGGCAGTGAGACAGGACTAGGCCCCTGAAGGAGTCAGTGCAGAAGATGAGAATGCATCACAACTCAGGCTTGAGGGGCCTATGTTGAAGCCTATGCCTCACGATAAAGATGCAATGACCAGGTCTACATGCTTCCCTGAGGGTTAAACAGTAACTTGACACTGTACTATTGAACTATGACTGGTATCATCTGCTCAAGTAAAGTGCAGATGGACCTCAGCCCCTCAGATGGGTGACTGGAACATCTGGACTCAGTCCCCCAGGTGGGTGACCAGAGCATCCAGTCCAATCCCTTCCCCAAAATGCCTTTGTTCTTCCCATGTACTCTTGCTATGTGACTAGCTTCTCTGTTGGATCAGTATTAGCTTAGCAGTTATACTGTAATGCCACAGGCCAACTCTAGTTTCCCTTTCGTTGCTAAAATTTTGATATACATAATGATAACATTCATCATAGGGAAGTTGTACATGTACATGACACATCTTTCTTTTCTTCCCAATTCCCCTCCCCTCTCTTCAATCCTCCTTCCCCTTTTTATTTACAAATCTTTGTTTCCATTTTTTCCCTGGGTCTTTCCTTCCCACTCATGAACAACGAATATCTTTCCATTTTCTGATATCCTCTTAAATCTCCCTTTTCAGGGTACTATTGTTTTCAGTGTAAAGATGATTACTTCATTAGACTGATTCGTATGTACTTCATGTGGGGTTTTATTTTGGATGCTATTGAGAAAGGTATTGTTTCACTAATTTCTCTCAGTGCATTTGCTATTTGTGTATTGGACCACTTTTAATTTTTGATTATTGAGTTTGTATTCAGCTATGCTACTGAATTTGATTAATAAACCTAGAGGTCTCTTGGTGGAGCTTTTGGGGTTTTCTATGTAGAGTATTATGTCACCTTCAAATAATGATAATTTAACTGTTTTCTTTCCTATCTGTATTCCATATCTTTTGTCAAACTGCTCTGGCTAATGTTTCCAGAGCTATGTTGAATAAGAATGGAAACAATGTCTTGCTCCTCATTTTAGAGTGAAAGTTTTCAGTTTTTGTCCATTTAGTATAACACTGGCTGTTGGTTTGTCATAGATGGTTTTTATCAGATTGAGATAAAGACCTCCTATTACAGTTTTCTGTAGTTTTTATCAGGAGCATCTGTTGGATTTTGTCAAATGCTTTTTCTGCATTTATTGAGATGATCATGTGGTTTTTGTCCTTGGCTCGGTTAATGTGGTGTATTACATTTATTGATATGTGCATATTGAGCCATCCCAGGGTGAATCCTTCTCTGTCATGGTGTGTAACCTCTGACGATTTGCTGAATTCCACTTACCATATCTTATCCAGGATATTTGTGTCTGTGTTCATTAGGGAGACTGGGCTATAGTCCTCTTTTTCTGCTGGGTCTTTCTTTGGTTTTGATGTCAGTGCACTTCTTGTTTCCAGGAATGATTCTGGGAATACCACTTCCCTTTCCATTTCAATAAAGAGTTTGATAAGTAGCAGCATTATGTCTTCTTTAAATGTCTTGTAGAATTCACCAGAGTATCTAACAGCAATGAATTTGTCAGGAACTGGGTTTTTCTTTCTTGGTGGATTTTAATTACCTCTTCTATTTCATTGACTGATATTGGTTTATTTAGTATTTTTATATCTTCTTGATTCAGTTTTGGTAATTCATATGTATCAAGAAATCTGTCTACTTCTTTTGCTTTTTACATCTTATTAGAATACAAGTTCTTGAAGTAGGTTTGGATAATCTTCTGGATTTCTGCAGGATCTGCTTTGATTTCATCCTTTTCATTCCTAACTGCATGGCTCCAAGACTTTTCTTTCCTTTTTTTTGGATAAGGTTGACTTACGGATTGCTGTTTGTATTTAACCTTTCAAAGAACCAATTGTTTTTATTGATTTCTTTGTATTGTTTTCTTGGTCTCTATTGCATTGATTTGTGCTCTGATCTTATTTATTTATTTAGTCTTTTTGAGCCAGGATTTCCTGGTGCAATTGAGGCTGGCCTTGAACTTTCAGCAATCCTGTGTCAGCCTCCTGAGTCCTGGGATTACAGGTGGGCATCACCACACCGGGGTCTGGTCTGCTTTATTTTCCTTCTTCTTGTAATTTGCTCTTCTTTTTCTAGAAGCTTGAAGTTCAACATAAGCTTGATTATTTGAGTTTGCTCTGTTTTTCTCATATGGGAATTCACTGCTTGTAAAGGAACTTTCTATGTAGACCATAAATTCTAATATGTTGGGTTGGCATTATAATTGTAGAAATTGTTTAATATTCTCTTTATATCTGTGGCCCACTGGTTGCTCAAAATATTACTTAATTTCCATGTGTTTATGAAGTTCTTCTGGTTTCTTTTCTCACTGATTTCCAGTTTCTTTTTTTAATCAGATTTTATTTGTATACTTTAGATATATATATGTATATCACATTCATCTTAGAAAAGTTGTATCTACAAGTGATATAATTTGTTTTTTTGTATCCCCCTACCTTTTCTTCAACCTCTCTTCCCCTTCTCATTTACAAAAACCTTATTTCCATGTTTTGCTTCTTTTCCCATTTTTAAATCTATTCCCTTGTTTGCTTTTCCCCTCCACTCCCTTGTTCTACTCTCCATTTGAATGTTTTCTTCCTAGTTCATAGTTCCTATTACACATTTTGGTCCTTATTTACATTTTTGTTTTCTCACACCAAAGAAACAATGTGATATTTGCACATGTGGGTCCAATTTATTTCACTTAAAGTTACGGTCTCAAGGCACATGTTTTCCTAGAAATATGTCAAGTGTGTCTTTCTTTATGGCAAAGTAGTATTCCATTGTCTTAAAAAAAACCCACATCATTATCCATTTACCTGATGGTGGACATTTGGGTTATTTTCAAGATTTGGCTAATATAAACAGTGCTGCTGTAAACATGGCTGAGCATATATTTCTGTGATTTCCAATTTCATTGCACTATGGGATGATAATATACATGGGCTAATTTCAGTGTCTTTGCATTTAATTACATATGTTCACTAAGCTAGATTCTGATCTATTATTGGAAATGCCCTGTGTGCAGCTGAGAAGAATGTGTATTCTGATGTGAGGCAGAACACTGTAGACATGTGCTAAGTCCCTCTGTTCAAAAGTTTGATTCAGTTGTGATATTGCTTTGTTGATTTTTTGCCTAGGTCATCTGTCTGTTTGTAATAGTGGAGCACTGAGATCCCCCATTACAGCTGCATTAGTGCTTATTTGATTTTTCATGTCCGTTAATATTCTATATAGTTGAATGTGCTGGTATTTGGTACACATATGTTCTCTCTTCCTCTTGGATTGTTCCCTTTATAAGCATGTGGTGACATTCTCTCTCTCTCTTGATCAGTAGTGGTTTGAAATACTCTTTGTCTGCAAAAAGAATATCTACCCCTGCTTTTTTTTTTCTGGGTTCCTGTCACAGTTTTTCCATCCTTTAAGTTTCAGTCTATAAATTTATTTCTGAATTAAATGTATTTCTTGTATGCAGCAGATTGATGCATCTTGCTTTTTTTTTTTTTTTTTTTTTTGTCTTTTTGATGCATTCTGCCAGTCAGTTTTTAATTTGGTGAATTGAGACCATTTACACTGATGGTTATAACTGATATGCATTGACTTATCTTTGACATGTTATGTTCTTATTGTTGGTCATTTTTCCCCTTCTGAATTATTTATCTTGCCTGGTGGATTTATTCTGTTGAGGTTCATGGAGTTGTAACCCTTATTATCTGTTTTTATAATGACCTTGAGTACATTTTGCAATACTGGTTTGGTAGTCCTAAATTTCCTCAGCTGTTCTTTGTCATGAAAACATCTTATTTTTCCAACAATTCTGAAAGATAGTTTTGCAAGATATATCAATCTGCGGGTGATTGTGAGAAGTCTGCTGTGATTCTGATGGGCTTTTCTTTATGAGTGACTTGTTTCTTAATAGTTTTCCTGTGTTAAATTTCTGGAATCTTGACTATTATACAAATCTTGATGTAGATTTATTTTGATCATGACTAATTGGAGTTTTATATGCCTTACTTATATGCATGTCAAATTCCATTTCCCTCCTTGGGAAATTTTCTGCCATTTTTTTGATGAAGGAGTTTGTTTTTGTTTTTGTTTTTTCATTTTTTGTGTCTTGTGTCTTACTATGCAGTTCAGGCTGTACTTAACTTCATTTTGTAGCTCAGGCTGGTCTCAAACTCACAATGATCCTCCCCTTCCAAGTGCGGGGATTAAGGCATGCGTCACCATGCCCTGCTGGTCAGTTGTGCTATTTTCTGCTTTGTTTTTTTTCATTGATTCTTATCTATTTTATGTTACTCTTTGTTGGATTGATTTTTCATGGTCCCTTACAATTTTTAGTCAGTTTTTGTTTTCATGATTGCTCACTGAAATCCTGTTTTCTATATTTGAGATTCTTTCCTCTGTGCATATTTGGAAAATTCTGCTGTGCATATTTTCAATGGAATTTTCAATCCCCTGGACATCTGTTTGAATCTGATTATATTTTTTCCTGTGTTAAGTGTCCATGGTTTCCATCATTTTCCTAAATGCCTTTATTTTTTAATTGTTTTAGATTGATTAACTGTGTTCCTCAGGGTCATCGTCTCTGTAGTATTACGAGAAACTATGTCTGATTTAATTTTTTTCTAGAGTCTCTTTCTTCTACTTGGTACTTCTGTTGTTACTATCTCAGAGTGTCCAAGTAGGTGGCTTTTGGATTGCTCTACCTCATTGTCGCCTGAGTGTGCTTTTAGTGAGCTGGGAATCTGGCGTTGCAACTTGCTTGTGCCTTCTCATTTTCTTTATTTTTCTTCTTCTTCTTTTTCTTTCTTTTAGTTTGCTTCCTGGGTTGATGATTGTAAATTGCTTATGGCACATGGCTTTCTTGGTGGTATTCAGAACTTTTAGGAAATGACTGCTTCTCAGAAATGTCTGTGTGTAGCTGGATTTGGGTTTTGAATCTGTTGCAAGATCCTACCTCTTCAATTTATTGAGGATGAGAAGTTGTTGCCTATGTGGCCTGGGTCCTGGTTATTTGGCATTGGCTTATATTTTTTATGACCCTTCTTAACATTTCCTTAGCTAAAACACATTTGCTCTAAAAGCAACAGAGTTTGCATTAATCTAATTCTGCCTCAATCATGTAGTACCTCTCATATTATCAATTACAAAGACATATGAGCTCCTTGCTTATAACTAACTAAATAATTGTAACTATCTAAAATATTGTCCAGAATAATAAAACATTTTGCCCTAAGAATATTGTGTCTCCATCTCTTGACAAATAAAAATGAATTACAGATTTAAGAGGGTGATGAATTTGTTTTTGTTTCTATTTATTACAGTCTCATATGACTTCATGTTTAAAATACTAATAGAATTGTACAGACTATGTGTATGATATTTTTATGGCAGTATTACTTGTAAAAGTAGGGAAATGGAAACATCTTAGACATTTACTAACAAGCAGAATGGTTAAGTTAATCATGGTGTAGTTGCACAGCAAACACATAAAAGTAAATGTCTTAGTATAGAGACTTTCTTTTCATATGACAAAAGGTGTCACATATACCATATTCTATCAACCATAGTGTTTTTTACAGCTAATTGATACTAACAGTTTCGCTTCTGTGGAAGGCAGCTTCAGGACTAGGGTCATGGAATGCTAGAGACTTCATTGTTCTTCCTTATACATTTGTCTGAATTATTATTTACTGTACCCAGGCATAAATTTAAATAACGATAAAATCCTCATGTGTGAATTTTTCTCCAGTTACTCTCTTCAATGGGGGCCCACAATGGGGGAACCTTTGGGTAATGTTTGGAGTATATTGACTTACTTTCACCTTGTAGAGCATTGTGTCTCTGTCTATTAGAGCTGAGCATTGTACACACACATACACACAGATACACAAACACTCACGTCTGGCATTCACACAAAGGAAGACTTTGATTTCTAGTCATGCCATATTCACCTGCGTGGATTTCCAGTTGTACAGGATCACTTGGTGCTGAGAGCCCTATCTGGCACGTGTATTCACCACTGTCACTGAAACTTGCTGCAGTGATGCTGTGTCTGGCAATTGAGATCTGAATGGTTGTTCCATTGAGGAGCCACTGTACGGAGCTGTGCCCAGGCAGCTGGGGTCCCTCACATCTCAAGGCTACATTTTCTTCTCGGAACATATTGACATACGGAGGCTGCAAGATGATCACTGCCTTTGTGAAGTCTGCTTGTGTATAAAACAGAAATAAAAACAAGAAACAAATAATCAACAAGTGGAGTGAAAGGAAGGCTCTGAGTGATTAGTAAAATTTAATGGAAAACACAAGGAAAAATGCATCTTTATATTAATTTGAAAACACAGGCAAATTAGAATTTACATCTTTAAGAGCATGTAAGCCCCACTTCAGGAAGCTTTGTTTATGTTACAAAATCTTAATCTGGGTGTTGGGTCTATTGGGTTCTTAAGGAGGAACATTGGGTTGCTGACATGGTTCTCTCTGTTGGTAAGGTAGAAGCAGCATTTAAGATAGGACAACTGACTGGACCAGTTTCCTTGTCCTTGATGCTGTGTTATCTCTAAGGGTAAAACATAGACCCTCAGAGGCTTTTGCATTAGAAATGCCTCGCTTTGAAGATATCACTGTGGGAAGCCGCCTATGATGGTGCCCATTTCCTGCTTCCAGGTTCTTCCCGGCCTGAACAAGCCCGCCAAATTGTCATGTCTGCCCAGTTACCCGTGACGCTAGCCTATCAGCTTGTTAGACGCGCTTCTCTGTGATTGGATACTGCTTCCCCTTATAAGAGGCTGTTCCTGCCCCCAACGGGCAGAAGAGGAACCAACGTTGAGGGTGGCGGACCTTGTTAGGTCCGGTTCGCTGTACGCAATAAACTTTGAGAGCTGATCCTGCTCGAGTTTGGTCTCCTGTCTCCCGCGGCTCCGGTCATCTGGTGGCCCGTACGGGGAAAAAGGTAAAAGACTCAGCGACGTGCCTCTTCGGCCGGGAGGTGCGATTGCTGTCGCCTGCGGTACGACGGAGGACCTGGCCCAATAACAACGGAAGGCCCCGAGCGCCTCTTCTCTTCACCCTGATCAGCTACGTGAGATACAGCGGTTCCCGGGACAGGTGAGTACTGGATCGCCTGGGTTGGGTGGACGCACCTAACAGATTTTGAGCGCCACACGGGTGGACGCCGGTCTTTTTTTTTCCCTTGCATTTGTTTCGCTTTCGTTTTGCCATTGTGGGCAACGCTGCTCGCAAACCCCTCGCTGACTCCCTAAGAGTCCTGCTGCGGACCCGAGGCATCTACATAAACCGGGTCACCCTTTCGAGATTTCTGGATAGTGTTAATGAAATTGCCCCCTGGTTTTGGCCCACGGGCTCTCTAACCCTCCCGTCATGGGAGAAGTTAGGAGGGGATCTTAGATGCGCCCGAGAAGAGGGACGCTTGGATCCCATGGTTTTACCCCTGTGGGAACTGATTAGGGCTTGTCTGACGGACGAACAAACCCCCGGGCTTTGCTCAGCCCGACAGGCTCTTGACAAAGCTCGATCCGAGTGCTCAGAGGAGCCCGAAGTCACACCTGACTTTGGGCCTCCAGAGAAACACAAGGGCTCCGATTCTGATTCGGATTCGGAAGGCTCAGAAGAGGAGGTCGTCTTTGCTAAGCATGACCCTCCTACACCGTTAAAAGAGGAACTTAGGGCTCGGGAAGATAAAAAGGGGAACCAAACACCACCCTGCCCGAGCTACTCCGCTTTGCGGGAGGAACTTAGGTCCTTCCGCTCCTTGGCAAGCTCGCGACCCATGGTCGCCCCCTTCAGGGCACCAGGCCCTACTGCACCGCCGTGGCCGGAAGAGGAGTTGCTCCCTGGGCTGCCATCTCCACCCGTGGCCGCCAGAGGGCGCCCACAACCTATGGCACCGCCCTGGTTAGAGGGAGAGCTACTTCCTGGATTACCTCCTGCGCCCCCTTCTGGGGGAGGAGGAGGACGTTCCTTCCGTATGTGGTAAATGCTCTCCAAGTTCTGGAGACGGCGGGTCCCATTAAACCCTCTTCAACGGTAGCCTCCATATTCCTAGGTATTCAACATCAGCTATGGAATAGAATCTCAAAAGTGTTCATCTCACATATCAGAGCCCATACTAATTTACCTGGGCCCTTGGCGGAGGGCAATGCCTTGGCAGACTCGGCCACGCGCCCGATATGGGTCTTCACCTTTCCCAACCCTCTGGAAGCAGCCCAAAAATTCCATTCTCAGTTCCATGTTAATGCCCGCACCCTCATGGCGCGCTTCAACATCACGAGAGCACAAGCACGACGGTATTGCCCAGCTTGTGTGATCTCTTCACCCCAACAATCTATTGGCATTAACCCAAGAGGACTTCGCCCAAATCATATTTGGCAAATGGATGTTACACACATCCCAGAATTCGGAAAACTTAAATATGTTCATGTTTCGGTAGATACCGCCTCCCAGGTTGACAGGCCGCCGCATATCTCCTTCATGTCGCAGAACATCAGCTATAAGAGCTGAGTGGGCAAGCCAATGATGGGTAAGACGGGAAAAGCCCTCCCGGTCAACCTAAGACAGGCTCCACTCAGATATACCTGGCCTATAAGGCCAGGGGTCGCTCCCGGAGTCAAATTATTGGCATTGAGATGCGAGACCAAGGGTACTGCAGTGCCATCCGCCCCAAAGGTTGGGGGGAAGGCAGGAATGAATGTCTATATGCATCCAGGTTCGGTTCACAAAAGCCTGGCCCTGCGAAAAAATGAACCACTCACCTTGAGCATGGTCCTGGCACAAGGATATGCACAAAACAGGGTGATGCACAGCAGGGTATAGACCTCTATATTCTCTCATGCCTTGGCCTACAAGGTAGGCCCACTCCTAGGTGTCTAACAGCAACAAGGTCATAGACACCTTGGAGGGACCCACAGACCATCTTATTTTAATAAATAAAAAAGGGGGAGATGTGGGAAGCCGCCTATGATGGCGCCCATTTCCTGCTTCCGGGTTCTTCCCGGCCTGAACAAGCCCGCCAAATTGTCATGTCTGCCCAGTTACCCGTGATGCTAGCCTATCAGCTTGTTAGACGCGCTTCTCTGTGATTGGATACTGCTTCCCCTTATAAGAGACTGTTCCTGCCCCCAACGGGCAGAAGAGGAACCAACGTTGAGGGTGGCGGACCTTGTTAGGTCCGGTTCGCTGTACGCAATAAACTTTGAGAGCTGATCCTGCTCGAGTTTGGTCTCCTGTCTCCCGCGGCTCCGGTCATATCACTATGTGGTCCTGGCTCTCTCTGCAAAGAAAAAACCAGCTTGGCTCTCCTGCAGAGGGGACTAGTCTAGCTAGGGTGTGTTGGAAAACCCAGCAGAGCTACTTCTGCATTTCTGCAGTTGTGGCTCATCCCTGTTGTTGTATATAGAGTTGAGCAGCCAGGAGTCATTCAGAAAACCTCAAATAACAAGAAAACTTAAAAATCAGGATTCTGTAAAAAATCAGACTCTGAATGTGGGAGGATTTTACATAATTTACAAGTCTTTCTCATATCTACCCTTTCCCTAAACCCTCTTCTTTAGGTCAATGGTGCTTATTTTCTTTAGGAGTTGAAAGGTGGTGTAAGTAAAGTTGGGCTGGAGGTCACTCACCCACTTGCCCACCAACTGGAACTGCAAGAGACCAGAGAATAGAATCAGTTTATTAGTAGGAAATGATAAAAGGCAAGTTGGGAATAGAAATCGATGTAGACTCAGAAGGATACCTTAGGTCTCTTGAGATTCTCTATCCCTCTTTCTCAAAAGGAATTATCAGCTGAACTGATGGGCATTGATTTACTTTTTTCCCTAGGGAAAAACCCAGGGACTGGAACATTCAAACAAGTGCTTTACCATTATAGCTGCACCCTACCCACAATTAGGATTTTAATATGAGATTTTCAGATGTGATGCTAACTCTGGATTTCCCTTTACATTCTTTTAATGTAGTAAACACCAAAAAAAAAAAAAATCAAAGCCCAGATGCAGTTGCTTCCATGCTCATGATTTCTATTATAATATATCAAAGGAAAACAAACAAACAAAAATCTTAATTCCTCATTGGTGAAGCTTGTCTCCTTCTAACCACTTCCCTGGGTTCAACTTACCCCAAAGGAGAAGAGCTGTCAAAAGCCACATCTTCCCTCCAAGCTGGTGAGAGCAGTAAAACCTGTAGTGTGAAAGAGGTTCTGATGAGGCCCCAGGGCAATGACTAGAAAAGAGAAAGGAAGTTGCTTCTTTTGACCACATTCATCATGTGTCTTTCCTGGGAAATATGCCCCTAATTTTCAAAGCATGTTTTTTTCTGTTCTCATATTCCCTTGGTGCAGCACTCTCTGTGTGAAGCTCTGGTTTTTAGGTTATGACTTTTCAAAGTCCAGAGGGATGGAGTAAATTTTTATGACATTCTATTCTGATTATATTTTCCCTTTATTTGGTCAGTTTCTCAGGGCCAGAATATGGCAAAATTCCACTTTTACAATTGGTTCAAAATCTGGTCAATGCTTGATAATCTGAACCCTGAAAACTCTAATTCAGCCTCTCTGAAGCTTCTGAAGAGTTACTGAACTTGAGAGCTTCCCAGCAAAAACCAGCCTCTGTTCCTCTGAGGAATACAGGTATACATAAAGTATAAGTACGTACATACATAAACGACAAAACGCCATCTTCCTGAAAGACATTATGAACTTGTAGAACTTTCTTAGGCTAAATCCAAGGAAATTAAATGTTTAATGTATATGCTACTGTAGTGAAGAAAAATTACTCATATCACCTATGAGCGGATGTGGATTTCAGACTACAGGAGGAAAGTCTATCACCAATGCCAGTGTGTTCCTGAGGCATAGTTTTAAAGATATAAAGAGGCTTTTAGGTATTCTGTTAAGAGAGCTAAACAGAAACTAGGATGAACTCAGGAACCCTAAGGACCTTAGGTAGCAAGTTCCCTGGCAGAGAATGAACACTGATATTAAAATTGTAGAACTACTTACTAGCTCTAATTGCTTTGATTGTACACTGACCACATGATATCTTTAGAAGCAAAGGGTAACTAACTCTTTCAGGAACTCATCCATGTGATGTTTATTGGCTAATACAACGTGAATGGAAACACCACTGTGCTAATTTTGAATTTAGAACTAGAAAGCTCCTCTTATTATCTCTTACTCTTCTTCACTTCTAAGATTATAATGATAACATTCAAACTGTCAACCATCATAGCCTGAAGAACAGTTGACTCAGCTGCCCTGGAAACTGGTGAAAAATATTTGTATGCTGTCTTGGTTACTTTTCTCTCATCACTGATACAAAATACCCAATGCCTAAAATTAAGAAATGAAGGTTTATTTAGCTCACAATTTGTGGAGGTTTTAGTCCATAATCTGCTGCGTCTAAGGCGGGGTGATGTGGCAGAGAAGCAACAGTTCTGGGAGACGGAAGACAGCAAAAAACAAGAAGAGCAAAAAGGAGGAGTGCTAGAGAAGACTCTTTCTGTCTCTTATATTGTATGTAAGCTACATACCATAGAGTGGATGCAGCACTCACATCCATAATCCCAGCACTAGACAATGAATTAACCATAAACTAGATTCAGCTGCCTCCAAAATCTTGCCTCCATGACTGCATGAGGCTTTGGGGGACATCTAAACACAAATCATAACATATGCCACTGAGATTATAAGGTTTTTATACAGCAATAGCTACCTAATACAAGTAGAAAGAAAGGAAGCTCTGGAAAGAATTGAAGATGTGCTAGAGAGATGCCTCAGCTCACTGAAATTTACACTCAAAGATGATATTTATAACTCCTACTATTTTCTCAGTATAGTTTTCCACTTTATGGAGGTACCTTAATTTATTTCATTAAACGTTTCCTTCTGGCTGTTTCTGATTCTTTACTGTTATGACCAGCACTGCGATACTTTTAAACATTCAACTTACTCTTTCCTTAGGGCTCATTGCTAGAATTGATAGAGTTGACTAAACACATGTACACATGTTTTTTCCCTTTGGATACTGTTGGCATTGTCCACCATTATCCTCACCACTACATGTATATGTAGGGAGCATACTGTACGCTGAGGTTGTGATTCATATTCATTTTGCATTTAATTGTTATAATAACCTTTGAGTAGACATCATTTTTATCTCCTTTTTACAAATGATAAAACTAAGTAAAGAGGCATTTAGTCATTTGCCCAGGTTTATAAAAAGTAGAAGCCAGATTCAAAGCCAGGTAGCTGGTTTTATAAGCTGACGAACAGAGTATAGCAGTGCCCACTTCATCCTTTGAAATTCTAGCTGCTGATTTGAAAATAAAGTAAAAGCAATTAATTGATCAGGATGAGATGGGAGAATGAGTAGTGTTGGGGAAGAGGAATATAAGATTTATGACGTGGAAGGATGAAATGGTTTTTTTGTTTAAGTGATTTTCTGTAGCCTCCAAACGTTAAGGTAATAGTTAATGATACAATTTAAATTGTGGAAAAAAGAACTAGGACTCTGGGGGCAAATGCAGCTCATGTAGACACAGTAATGTTCAGCATTAAATGGCCAGTAAAAATCAGGATGCTCACAAGAATCATGAAGAGAATTTATACATAATGACAATCTTTAAAGTAGATTCACAATCATATTTTTCTCAAGTGTTTTGACAAATATTGTTCTTTTTCTACCACAGAAAATGATTTATTAACAATCATTTGATATGCTTTAAAATTAGGTTTTATTGGTACATTTTAGATATACATAATAATTACCTTCATCATATAGAATTTGTAACTGTACATGACATTGCTTGTTTTTCCCCATTCCCCTACCCTCCTGTCAACCTCTCTTTCTCTCATTTACAAAACTTTGTTTTCATCTCTAATTTTTTGTTGCTTTTCTCTTCTTTTTCCTTTCCCCTTCCCCTCACCCTTGTTTGCTTTCACATTTGAATATTACCTCCTATTTTGCAATACCTACTGGACTTTTGGGTACTTATTTACACTTTTAGTTTCTCACATCAGAGAAATAATTCAGTATTTACACATTATCAGACATCATATATCTCATTTATTTCACTTAAGAGAATGGACTCAAGTTGCATCCATTTACCTATGAAAGTTTCCAGTTTATCCTTTTTATGGCTGATGAGTGCTCCATTGTATAAAAATGCCATATCTTTTTCAACCGTTCCTCAGTCGATGGGCACTTGGGTTGTTTCTAAGATTGGGCCATTACAAATGTTACAGCTATAAATGTAATTATTCACATATTGCTGTGGTAAGATGCTTTTAATTCTTTTGGGAAGATACCCAGGAGGGGAATGGTTGGGTCAAATGGAGTCTTGAGTCCTAATTTTTTGAGAAATCTCCACTCTGATTTCTACAGTGGTTGCACCACTCTACACTCCCACCAATGACAGAGAAGAGCTTCTTTTCCACCACAGCCTCACCAGCATTTGTTATTAGCTATTTTCTTGATAATAGGCATTTTTTTCTGGGACAAGGTGAAATCTCAGTGTTTTAATTTGCATCTCTCAAATGACCAGTGATGTTCAATATTTTGTCATATATTTATTGTCTGTGTGTATCTTCATCTGAGAACTATGTATTCAGATGCCCATTTTTGGATTGAGGCTTTAAGCTTGGGAGGGCTAACATTTTTGAGTTCTTCATATGCTCTTGATAGTAATCCATTGAGAAAGAGCTGGAAACGTATTTTTTAACTCTGGGTTGTGTCTTAGTTTGACTGTTGGTTTCTCTTGCTGTGGAAAAGCTCAATAAGATGAGATCCAGTTGTTGTTTCTTTGTGATAGTTTTCTGAGATTGAGATTTTATTCATAAAGTCTTTGCCTACACCAATATCTTCAAGAGTTTTACCTTTCCTATCTCCCAGAAAATTTGTTGTTTCTGTTTGAATATTTAGACCTTTCATCCATTTTGAATTTAGTTGAGTGTATGTGAAAGATATGATTCCAATTTTAATCTTCAGCATCTGCAAAATCAGTTTTCCCAGCATATTTATTAAAGAGGCCATCTTTCAGTGAATATGTTTGGGACTTTTTTTTAAATTTTATTTAAGAGGAAAAAGAGAAAAACACAAAACAAAACAAAGCGGTGTAAGGGTACACGTAATACAGAACTAAAAAAAAAAAAAAACAGTAAGAAATCACCTGTTAATAGATTACATATTATCATCTTAGAAATAGTTGCTCAAATCACAGTATCAAAGAATACAAAGTGGACATTCAAACAGAGAGACTGCAAACAGCTGTGTTCAATGATCCAAAAACATTAATATAGTTAGCTATTTAACACCCCCCTAAACACACGTGCTGTTATATCCGTTAGAGCTCTTTTTTTTCCCCCTCTCTTTTTTACAACAAAATTTACACATTTTGGATTATATTACTCCTTAGTGCTTATTACTTTTTAGGGGGGAGAGAATAAAGTCAAATATGGCAAAACAAAGCTGTCAGTCAAAACCAAGGATAGACATAGCACATGATGTAAAACAGAGTACAAGGTTATCAACAATGGTTATCAACGATGTCTCTTGTTTCCTTAGAAAGAATTATCTATCTCATTAGATATTATAAAGTTGGACAAAACAGTAGAGAACAAGACCAATAAAACTTAGGCATTGTAAACATTACAGGACTTCCAAAGGAGACAATAGTCAAACCAGAATGGGCATCTTAGTGAATCTTATTGCCTTCAAAGTAGTGTTTGGGACTTTTGTCAAAGACAAGGTGGCTGAGTATGTCTGGAGTTCTTTCTGCATTTTTTAAACTGTTCCACTGATCCTTGGGTCTGTGTGTGTGTGTGTGTGTGTGTGTGTGTGTGTGTGTGCTGCTTTTATCACAGTATAATTTCAAATTGGGGATTGTCATACCCCTCCCTTGCTTTTGTTGCTCAGAATTGCCTTTGCTATTCTAGGCTGCTTCTGGTTCCAAATGAATTTTAGGTTTTCTCTAATTTTATGAGATATGTTGTTGGAATTTTGATTGGAATTACATTGACTCTGTAAAACGGTTTTGGAAGTGTGGCCACTTACCTATATAGGTTCTTGCCACCCAAGATCAAGGGATATCTTTCCATTTCCTGATATCATCTTCTATCTCTTTTCAGATTACTGCAGATTTCAATATAGTGGTCTTTTACTTCTTTTTAGATTGATTCCTAG